TGATAAGAAAATTAGCGATAATATAATGGAGACAATTCGACGACAGTGGTGAACTGCAGCGGTTACTTCGATGTCGTCGTCGGCGACGTCGCTGTCGTATAATTCGAAATCATACGTATCTACCTACGAAGTCAAAAGGACTGTTAAGTAGCATAAGAGAGGGCGGTGGTCGCGACGAACGTGTATGCAAATATGTACGTGATTACGTGTGTCATTGTATACGGTCACTTAGTGCGGGGACACATGTTTTTGTCCTATAATACTCTATAATTTTTCGGATATCCGTGGGGCATTTAACTCGCGAAGTGCTGAGGCCATATATTTCAAGTAAATCTACACAGAAGTTAAGTTTAAATAAATAACAATATACGATGTAAAAAAGGGGGTTTATTTCTACTTTTTTTTTTTTATTGAAATAGTATATCAATTTTTATTTTACGACTGCTATATGTAAAATGCGTCATAATAGGCTTTCTACAATAAACCATGCACCTCAATTTCAAGCTGTAAAAAATTGATTGATCACAGTCACATATGAGAACAATAATCGACTATGATTAATCAATTTTTTACTTAAGACTTACAGTTTAGATAATATTATAACTGCTGTCAGTAGGAAAAAATAGCTTTGCAACTGTTATAAAATTCTTTAATATGATTAATCTTGCCTTTAATTCCTCATTGGATTTGAATATATAAATCAATCATAATACAATCAAGAATTTTACAATAATTGCAGAGCTGTTTTTTCTGCTAAATGCAGCCAATGGCTTATCGCAGAAAACCTATAATATAAATGATGTATCAGTTGAAATGCTTAACAAAAATGTCCAACAATAATTTCGTAACATAAAATTAACATTCAATAAATGTCTTCAAAATGATTAAATACCCCACTGTATCCGATTGAGCTACGTGTTCCCGAAGAACTGTCGGACGTTCGTCGTTGTATTTACATCGTCGAGCGATACAACGGAGCAATGTACAATTCACGGCTTTTACGGTATATGCAGGTAACGTGAGACTCAAGCAAATGATAGTTGACAGTACGATATCGGATCTCGAGATATTTTGTGGAATATCCGATAAAAGATTTAAGTCTGTTCAAGATGAATTTGAGATTCGGATGTTTGGTAATCTCTGATAAGTTTTTTCCGAGGTTTAAAAAAATTGATTTACGTATAACATGAAAATCTCTTTCGACGAGATTTTTATTTATTTATTCTTACATGCTTGTATCGAGAGTTATCAAAGAATCTGAGAAGTTGTCATATATCCGGAGTCCGTTGGGATATATGAAACTTCTATACAATTATTCGGAATTATTAATATCCGGTTGATATCCGAATCGCATCCAGAGAAAATTCTAATATCCGGATATAATTTATATCTCCGTATAATAACTTGTATCCGCGTAACCTGCACATCCCGCAATCAATTAACCGAATTCTACCTATTAGAAAACCTGATATTACAAAACCGGATTTTTATTCTTGATCCTGAACAGCAGCGAAATCAAACGAAAACGCTTACAGAAAGGTAACGAGAATCCCAAAGTCGATCAGGATTGCCAGATTTTTCTTTTCGTACTGCAAACGATGGATCCTGGATTTAATAATACGCGAAGAAAATCGGGTCTTTCATTCTGTCAAATTGGCACAGAATATGTAACATTAAATGGAAAGTAACAGCACATGAGTAAACACGTAGCGAGAATAAATTTAACGCATTTGTAACGAGTCAGCAAATGGATAATCAATAATCATTAATCAATTTCGATTAGCCGTGGCACATCGCGTTCTCATATACCCGTTTGAGCCAGGCTTTAAAGTGGGACGCTCGATGTTGAAAGCGAGGGTGTCGAGGGTGCGTCGGAAGAATCGGACATTTTTGCGAGGAGGAAAAAAAAAAGAAAAAGTCTTAACTATCCGGCAATCCTGCATAACTGCGTAAAAGCAACGTAAATAAAAGCAAGGAGCGAACGCGATGGTAAAACCGCAAACGGCAAATGTACGTTACTGTAAATTATGCTAACGTTGCTGGCCATCACGAAATGAGTAGGTACCATAAGACGTCGCTACCAATGATACAGCATCAGAGCAACAATACGTGCGGATCGCACATACACATGGAGTCTGTACACACTCGCTTTCTCCCCTTAAAAACTGTTGTGCGTGCGTGCTCATTGTACCCGCCGCCGATATGCATTTTCTTTTTTTCTCCTTCCCCCTTCCCCTCGCCCATTTCTGGTCGTTTTACTGAGTCATTTAAGATAGGAGAAACGACTGTAATTCGTAAATTGATCGATGATTCTACGCGCGATTATCGTTTATCGAAGAAGAGAGAGAGAGAAAGAGAGAGAGAGAGAACGTCATTCGCATTACTCTATATTCTATTTCACTCGACTTCACCTTAACTTTCAGCTCTATTATTCATTCACACTCAGAAAAAAGATATAGATAGCAGCTATAAAAGTGACAGTTACCCAAGTTTTTTATACGTAGAATTAGTGTACGTAGTTATTGTAACTATGAAGTTGTTGTTTATTCAACTGCACATTAAGCCTGCATAGAAAACTTGTATAGTCTTCACTCTTATGGACTTTTTTTTATAATAAGCTATTACCTAAGCTTAAGTCTTAAGCCGTAAGAAATTGACCAATCATAGTTGATTATTGTTCTCACATTAGATTATGATTGATCAATTTCTTAACAGCTTAAGACTTAAGCTTATTGTAGTGGCTTATTGTAAAAAAGTCTATTATAGTTGCTATCACTACGTTTTTCTCTGAATGCAGTGAAATGAATATCGCACTTTGGATCAAACGGCAATGCTTTCCCTTTTGAATATATTCCCGCAAAATTCGCTGCATCGGACAATTTATAAACATCACGTTGGACTTATTGGTTCGAGACATTTATTATACGGAAGAGAGCCGAAAGTATCAGCCGAACGTTACAGTACGACTCGGAATAAAATGTTAAAGTACAACTCGGAATCTACATTTCTCGCAAATGTAGATACATTGTACGCGTACAATGTACTTGAATCCAAATATCTCTCCCGGGCCGCGAAGGAAAGAAGAACATTTGGAGTCTTCGGCATCGATCTAACGTAAGCCGCGCGCGTTTTCCCTCTCTTATTTCGAGTCAACATCGTTGAATATTGCAATATGCATGCGAGCATTCCGTGAAATATAACGTATGTGTGCGTGGACGTACTCGTATCGCCGATACGGGATATATAGTCTAGTCAGGGTCGAATTATGGCTGGCTTCCATTTACAGGGCTGCATAATGGGGAGCTCTGTACCCGCGGTGCTCTGTATGTCACAGGAAATTGCAGGCGTGTTATTTCCATTTAAATAATATGCAAACACCCATTTGCACCTGTCTCAATTTACACGTGGATTGCACTTACATCGTTCTATTGCTTCTCGTTTCAAACATGATTCTTGAGATATACGTTCTGAATGTATACCATTCTATCGCTTTTACGTGTATATGTAACATTTTAGATAGGCACAAAGTGGTGAAACAAATGATACCACAAAATATATTCTACACTCTCTAGGCACTAGAATTTAATAAAAAGAATTAAATATTTTCAAAATTATAACTTCTAAGGTTCAAGATTTATTTAATTTTTTAAATAAATACAAGTACAATACTTATGTTCAGACATATCTTTCGAATTTGAATAAAGAGAAGTTTTTTTGAAAAAAAAAACACGCGTTTAAAAAATCCGATTTGAATCAGTATAACAAAAATTAATACTATAATAAAATGTAATGATCTGATAGTATTTGGACTTGTTTATTGACAAATTGCGTCGATAACTACACAAGTTACGTATTAAGTTTCCTGTACATCTTCTTCAGAGTTGTTCAACATAGCAACTGCGTGGACAGCATGACCGCAGCATAGACCGTGTATAGTCACTAATGATTAAAGTGGTAAAGACGTAACACAGCCAATGCATAGTCGGTGCAACCCTGGATAGGAAATCCAGTCTTTAAGGCACAAAGAATCGGGGCAATTGTGAGCAGCGAGCAAACTCAAGCCGATAGCACCGTACATAAATGAGGGTAAATGTAGAAAACGGTCTTCCATCAACAAATTATTCATACTCCTTATTAGGCGTGACCAACGGGAGTTGACGTAAGAATACTACGTAGACTTTGCAAAAAGTGTAACGCGCAAATATTTCCATTACGGTTTAGAATATCGGAAACTTCTTTCCGATTTTTATATTTTATTTTATGCGAAAAATGAAGATTTACTCGTGATGTATTCGTATGCGTTTCTTTTATAACGATTAAACAATTAAATTAGCTAAAAAGGATTAAACATGAGATATCAGATAATAATTGAGCCGCTTTAAAATGAAATTTAACTGGTTCATTAAATTTAAAAGTATAGCTCTCTCTTTTACGATTTAAAAAAAATGTTCATGTTTATATTCAAGATATATCAAATTGTTATCATATTCCAAACTGACATATTTAAAATTCAAATATTGAGAAAAAATTGAGAAAACATTGAGTAAAGCTTCATGTAACGTTTTCTATGTAAATGTTGTTACTCAACCGATCATGTCTGTGCAAGAAAAATAAATTTTCTATTTGCGTGGAGATCTATAAAGTGTTTAAGAGTTCTCATGGTTTAATTAAATATCTGTATCAATTTGATCTCCGCGAAACTATTTAAATATTAATTTGCTGCCAAGTTTTCAGTATTAACCTAATTTGCACGATGAATTTATTATTCATTCAATTTCCATATCCGTTGGTAGTATTCACTTTTCTAATAATATGAATAATTTTTATCATCTGTCTAAAAGTCTAAATATATTTTCTTTTTATAATAACATACGACTGTATACAGTTTTTGTGAATGTAATTAAATTCTTCTACGCGACGGGTCATTTATTTCGCGTCATCTGATTAATTTCTTCCTTCAACAACACTTCAATCTTTCTACTATAAACGGATTTAGTATGTAGCTTAAGAAACTAAAAATTACATGCAAATGCATATATCGGGCAGTAATGTATTTATTGTAAAATGACACGCGTAGAAATTTGTGCGTGCATTTCTGAATTAAAAAAATTATCTTATCAACTAATGTCATCATTGCATTTTAACCAGATAAATATTATAAGGGACAAAATTCGTGAAGCCAAAAATACGATAAGGAAAAGCTCCTAAATGTTTAGTCATCAAAAATAGAAAATAATAATTATAAGTAAGATCAAGTACTGCGATCTACGAATGCATTTGGTAGCGCCGTACATAACTTAATTACAAAAATAAATGTATATGCATTTCATATAAAAGCAACGTTACGATTGTGCGTAATAAAATATCAGAATTGTAACATATGCCAATAATACAGCTATGTTATTCTATGTGGAGAGATAATTGTGGTATTATTGTATTATTTAATATTATTCGAGTAAACCAACATGCTTACGGTTTAATTAAATTTGAAACCCACGAAGAATATGAATCCAACAGCTCTAAAGTCTCTTAAAAGAGTTAGACTTTTTTTTCGTTTCAATATGTATGCTAATATCGATAATAATTTTTATATTATGTCGAGATGTGCCATGAATCAAATGAAATAAAAGACGACAATATGAATGTTTAGATGGTCGGTTATTGAATTCGTGAGATGTAATCAATCGATTCGCAATTTTGGTCCAAAAGAGAATGGCTGTCTCATTTTGAGTTATTCAAAAAAAGAAAAGAGAAAAAAAACGGAAACGCGTTAACTACACGATTAATTCTGTCGAAGAAATGACGATTGTCTATAGAGCGTCCGCCGACTGTTCGCGAGATCCGTATACTCGATTGCACGTGCCTATATGATATGCTTTTGTTGTCCCTTCTTGCACTTCCTTCTACCCCCTGTTCCCAGGCACAACAGATATATGTATAAGGCGGAAAGACAACGCTCTTCCTTCGTTGCTATTAGAGGAGCTGCACTATAATTCCGCGCGCGAGGGACAAGAACAGGGAGTTGTTCTTTTTCACTGATATTACAAACGATATCTCGAATACTGGGGAGGGAGGAGCTCATGGATTGGTCCCGGCGATATTCACGGTGCGTAAAAGTGATTATAGGTCCGCACCCTCACCGCATTTACCATCAAAAGTGGCCATTCGTATCGAGATTCTCATACGTCAATAATGACGTCCATCGTGTCCACATTTTCATCACTCATTTAGCGTCGCATTACCGAACGTGACTGCGTGACTGCATCGAAATTTTGTCTGATATAAAGTCCATGTCATCAATGTCAAAAATTAATCAACATTGATGGGAATTAGATAGCCACAGTTATCGCTAAATATGCGATGAGAACGCGGATCATAGGATCGGGCAAAACACAGCCGATGCTAAACGTGCAGTGAAAGCACAACAGTTACATTCACGGGTGTGAAAATCTGTGACGGTGGTGTACCAAAAGATACGGTGCATCTATCGATATCTCTTTTGCTATATAAAACGAGCTGCAATGCAGGAATGCAATTTCCACTGTCGTTTATTCGATTTACCGTTTACACGAGTTTCCACGAGAATGGCGCTAACGATAGAAATAATGTAGGCGCGCGATATAGCGCGATCGCTGGAAGATAGAACGAGGTTCTTCCACGATGAGTAATCGATTTTTTCTTTTAATCGAGGTAATGTGTATAGACCGAATGATGATATCGACAATGGAAACGTATATAGCTTCGAAGGTAATAAAGTTTACGTCCCCGTTTCTACTGTGCGCAGCATATCCTTTGCCACAATGTATCTTAGATCACCAACTATCTTAAATTTAGAAGTAATGGGTGATGCGATGTTTACGTGAGTCACAAACACGGTGGTCTGGTGGACGGTATAAGACATTCGGCTGCACTCTTGTGGGATATTTTCGTTTTACATTTGCGTATTAATCGCTATACTCGGAACGAGATGAAATTAAAGATAACAATTTGAGAAAGGAAGAAGAGAAAAAGCAAATAGGAATAAATATTTTTGAAGACATTCTTGCGTCTCTCTATATAAAAATCCGCCTAACTGGTATTCGTAATAATATTTAGCAGAAATTACTTATAATTAACGCGAATATTATTCAGTTAAGAAACACTCGAAAAGAGATTACGGTCAGTTTTTGTAGTAAATATTTAAGAGGAAAGCAGATGGAATAATAAATTATAAAAAATACAAATGTACAAAATTTCTCTAGCAGAAAGTACAAATTATAGCGTTCACTATATATCAAGCATAAAGGGAAAAATAATCTATATAGAATAATAGATTCCTTGAGAAAATTCTTCGATTATGAACGATATATAGTGTCAATACATTGATTCATTTTATTTGCTATTAATGAAATGTATTATCTCTTTTATGAATATTAAAAAATATAAATTATGAAGCGAAGGAAGGAGGAAAGTTCTCTATTTGCTACACAAGTTCTCCTTGACTTTCTACACAATTTGCTTATTTAGATGGCTCGTGGTATAACCGCCGAGAGATTCCTCTCGTATTCACCTCTTCGTTCCGACGATATATATATAATATTTGAAATGTAGAATTAAAATTAAAACGATTATAACCATCGAGCACAGAGTCCCTGGATGGATTTTTGATCCCTTTTCTTAGGGGTGCAGAGTTTCGGAAGTGTTTCTCTTAATGAACCGTTTCTATTAATTCTACATTCCAGATAAATAATAGATATACCCTTTGCGGTCGTATATCTGGTGACAGCCGCCGCAAAAATTTTTTTTACCGTTTCGGTTGTCGGGTCTCAGCCGCCACGCTTCGCCGGCAGTGTTTATTTTTTGCCTAGCCGTTGAAAATGGGCAACGGAAGCCGTGATGCTTCGATGCAGCGAGGTATCGTTTTTACATTTTTCTTTTTTCTCTTGCCAAAGCATGCCTAATGGAATTTACGGGATTTTACAGGACAATCTTTGATTATAGGTGTATACACGCCGCGTCGTTCGCTCCAAAATAATTCCGACCAGTTGTGAGAGATACCCGTGTCTGAGCACGCTACGACCGCAAATGGTTAATCCAAACCTCCGGCTCTCTTGGTCCCGTTGGTTCGTAGGTTACAATTCCTCCGGTCTTCCTCTGCAACCCACCATACGAGAAAAAAAAAGAAAAAGAGACACTAGAGATTGGCCGGTTCGATCGATTTGAAAATCACGAAAATCGCGACCTCGGCTAGTTCTGTCGAGTTTACCATTTTTCTTTGTCATCGATCTTCCGACGCACTTCGCGACTCAAAACGACCCCGTATCATTTATGCCAATAATTCTTTTTCATTTGCGTTTTTAAAAAATATTAAGATTTCTTTCTTACGTGATATTTATCGCAAATATTACTACGCGTTTGCAAGACTTTGTTCTGAATTCTGCTTGTGAGTTTTATAAAGTGGAAATTTATAAAATGGAAATTAAGTAGAGCACATTAAAGAAGTAAACTGATATACTAATACTTGAATCTCGCGCTTTGTAGTTTTATAGTTGCCCGTATGTATATTTGTTAATTATGCTAAATGTATATGCAAGTATGACTCTATTCGCGATCTACTGCAATAATTCGTTTTATGTATGTCACGGCATAAATATTTATTAAACACGCGAAATTTAAACTCGTCGCTATACAAGAGATTATCTAGATATAAGTGAAAAACGAATGCAATTAGATTTCATTTGCAATTAGAATTTCGTAAATTATAATTTACGTTAATTTTCTATGATGAGTTTATTTATTATTTTTATCATTTCACTCGCGTCGTTCCAATCCGTACGAATAACTATTGATACAAATTTTAAAACAATCAATGGATTAATTTTGCCTTCAACAGTTTTCAGATAAGTTATCTAAAAGTTCAAGAAATTCATTGAAATTCATCGCGTGATTGGTCTTTCGTGAATAAGGGTAAAATATAAAACTCGACATAAACGAATATGATAATCTATAAACGTGCGTGTTCCTGATTTCAGTTGTTTATCGATTTAATTTTTCATAGTTTAACTTGTTATATTATTGTTCAGACTAACTGTAAGTGGTTCAAAAATATAAAAGAGAATTCTCAAGCTGCAGTTTAAATTATATTCCAATTACAACATATATGTACATTTTAATTCTTTTGTATCATGTACCTCCCCATTACGACTAATGAGTCAAGTAAAAGTCGAGCTCACGAATCGTGCAAAATAGATGAATGACTGAACGCCTTCGAGTTACCTGTTTTCGTGGCGAACGGATCCTTGGGATGATTCGTCTTAATGGCGTTCATTCTCCGATTCTGCGGTCCTTGGCCGCCGCCAGTGCATCCAACGCCGGGCGTTTGGCCCATACCGAGGCCGTGGGGCCCAGTGGTAACCGTGCCCCCGGTGGACTGCAAGTGTGACATTTGCTGACCGCAGCCTGGGGGCCCGACGGTTCCGGGCCCGCCGGCTACGCCGGGCGGCGCGCCGGGTGCCCTCACACGTGGCTGTTCGACTGGCAATACACGGCGTCTCTTCTTTGGTAGTTTGGCTCGCGCCTGCGTGTGACTGTAATACATCGCAAAGTTGCTAACGATCACGGGCACTGGCAGGGCGATCGTGAGGACACCGGCCAATGCGCAGAGCGCGCCGACGAACATCCCGATATACGTTTTCGGCACCATGTCCCCATAACCGACAGTCGTCATCGTCACCAGAGCCCACCACAAACCAAGGGGTATGCTCTTGAAGTCGTTCTTCGGATTGTATTGAGTGCGCTCCGCGTAGTACACAAGGCTAGCGAAGATGACAATACCGAGGACGAGGAAGAACACCAGCAACGTGAGTTCCTTTGCCGAGGCGCGAAAGGTTTGTATTAGGATCTTCAGGCCCGAGGAGTGGCGAGTGAGCTTGAACAGCCTCATTATACGTATGATGCTCAAGAACTCGAGGATATCGGCGTTCTCCAGATGGGCCGCAAACCGCTGCAGCGCCAGGTCAACGTAGAAACTCAAGGTCGCGACCATGTCGATTAGATTCACCGAGCTCTTGATAAAGTCACAACGATTCGGGCTCGCGGTAATACGTATCAAGAACTCAAGAGTAAACCAGGCGTTACAGACGCATTCGATGTAAAAGAAGACATCATGGGCATTGGTGCGAGTCTTGTCTACCACCCAGGACGTCACGTTGTCAATCTTTACCGAACGATTCACGATCATCGGCACTCGCATATCCGGATGAGTTTTCAAGCAAAATGAAAGTATCGAAACGCAGATGAAGAAAACGGAGACTATACTGATTACCTGAAAGATATCCAGACGTACGATTAACTTGTAAATGTTATATAGTAAAAAACTTTAATAATACAAAAAAGAAACAATATATATTACTTACATATTAATAAAAATTAACGTAATAAAAATTACATAATAAAAAACTATATTGGTGATGTTTTATATGTAGAATTATAATGTATATATAATATATAATTGAATCAATTATTTTATATTCATTGCTAAAACTGAAGATGAATAGTTATGAAAACTTTATTATAGTATAAACTTTTATAAATAAACATGTTTTTTTTTCTCTAAATATGTAGATA